GTGTGTCTTGCCCTCGACAGCATGGCCGACGTGCCGGTCCCCTATTTATATCAACAATCTAAGCCCACAATCCGGTCCCCACGAGCGTTTGTACTTTAAACAACGTCCTGGCCCTCACATGTCAGTGCAAGCTTAGATTTCCTCCTAACACTAACACCATCGGATCTTGACGCCCCGCAAAGTATTCACGGCATGTCTGTTGTTTTTGCTCAACGAACGCAACCCGGAATGGGCACAACACGCAGCTCCCGTTTAAGTTTAACCCTATCCGTACGCCCTAGGGTCATTTTGTACCCCCGGGGTTGTATTCTTCACATTTTAGAATACTTCTATTACTAATATCTCTTTGAAACGTTCAGTATTTCTCAAAAAATCATTTTCACAGACTGCTATGCAAAGCGAAGGGCGTACGGATCTGATTAACGAGTAAATTTCCTCTTTGAAAGTAGTGGCACAGAGTTCCCCATGTCGTATGGATACGATAGTAGAACACGACGCACGGATAGGGCTAAGTGGATGGCGTCACGTCCACAGGCTCTAGTTATAATATAGCTTGTGTTTTAGTAAGCGTTTTACGGCACTTGCAACACAAGTAGGTCATATAAAAGCCGAGGATTAGAGCAGGCGCGGTTCGTCCACAGAGCACGGTCGTGCAGTGCCGCCCAAAATATTTCAATGTTCTGTTACGTAAAACACCCACAATAATAAAAATAAAAGAAGCCAGAAACAAACTCTAGCCAAATATTATATCAAAACAAGGTCCTCATTGGCGCCATAACTGTCATTTCTGTGTCTATAGCGCCGTAAAACATCTTCTATGCCATGCCAAAGTCCACGCGCTCTAGCTAAACGTAATAGGATATTCAACAGTATAACATGACCTATAAATCTCTCTTGGGGATAACCCAAGCGATGACGACACTCGTAGCAAGTTTGGCGGTACATTAATATTAATAAGACGGCACATCTCAAATGTGCCCCTGCCGAACAGTGCCGAAACATAGCCCACAGTAGGCAGTCTAAAAATAAACGCGATATACCGTACGCTATTCTTTGCCAATATTATGTGAGCCCCGGAGCAATCCAGTGGAGTGCTCAAGTGAATTGTGATTGGTTTGTTGTCTGTCTTGCCACTATTTTAAGTGACTCTGTGACCGTGAGCCTGAGGGAGGTCCTATGAGTTGTGCCTTTGAACAGTTTTGAGTGTTCAGTTCTAATAGATCTACAGGATGAACGAAATTGATATTTGTGAGGCGTGCTGACAAAATGATTTACTTCTCGCAATCCACAAACGGAAATATTGGCCAAAAGTCGACACTATAGGGTCCGATTAGTAGATTTTCTATTTATGCCACGTTCTTTTTGTATAACGTACCTTTTTTCATTCCATACGTAAAAATAGTAAAAACTTCACCTAATAGTGTGATGTATCTATTTCCATAAGGCTTGGATCCGAGAAGTAACTCATTTTATTAGCACGCTTTACATTTAGCTAACAAACAAAGTGACAAGTAAAAAGAATTAAAATAAAAGCACGAGGTCCTCCCTCACCAACCCAAAGATCCTAAAATTATACACCGTCTCATTTACTATGCCCTTGACTATCTTCAGCATGCGATAGCTTAATTGTGCACGTCCACTTTTTAGCCCCACCAGCCGCCCCTGGATTAGAGGTGTTGCGAGAGAGAAACAAACACGAAAAAGAAGGAGGAGAGAAAGCGGCGATAGATGTTTGATAGGAAAAGAAGGAGCAAACCACACCAAAGGAGCTCAACCACCCACAGCAAACAACCTCTTTGGATAGGGTCGAAACAGCCGACCTCCTGGATTACCCAAATTGTGTCGATTATGGTCGTAGCCTTGCAACCCCTACTATTTTGATACTATTCAAGTGTAATGCTCCTTTAAACTCTATAGTTAGGGTCATGAGAGCAGGAGGACAAAGGTATGATTTTCGATTTTCACGCCCCAATTGGAACGATTTAGATCATTTAGGAGGTGGCCTACTTTGATCCTATCTGTCTGATTGGGACGTACAACATCCCAGCAGAAAGACTGTCGAGATACTTGATAACAAATTTCTTCACACGGAAATCGAACTCATAATATTCTGTGTGCGACGGCCATGCAGTTATCTCCTTTTTAAACCTAGGTGCCTAGTAGATCTAGTGTAAATCTGGAGACGGCGAAGCTCATTTAATGACATTTAACCGCCACACAGCAGCTGATGCTAGGGGTGCAAGAGGACACAACGGTTGGTGAAAGACCATGAAAACTCCCAAAACAACAAACGTTCAAGAAGTCCGTGTCGCGATACAAACCAGGACCGTCCTCGTCATCGTCCATAGAAGCCTAATTAATTAACCCTATCCGTACGTCGTGTTTTACTATCGTATCCATACGACGTGGGGAACTCTGTGCCACCTCTTTTTCATTTTTTATATAGTAGAGGGTTTTACGGCGCTCGTAACTGCATAAGGTCATATGAGCGCCAAGGGGTGGGTGAGGGTGGGTGTCAACAGAGAAGTCTTTACAGGGAATCAGATTTAGACTGCTCACCTCTCTAGCTTCAACAGCACAAGGTCTGCTTCGACTATCAAGGCACCCCGGAAAAAGCGGGTCGCAAAGAGAGTGACAAACATACAAAAGAAGTAGAGGAAAATGACAATAGTACGGATCAGGAAAGAAAAAGCAGCAGTTCCCTGTTGTAGACCAGGCACAGTTATGAGCGTGACAAGAGTCAGCCCATTTACAATTCTACTATGCTTGAACGAGAAATGTCCCCCCTTTGGGAATGGCCTAAAGACTCTTCAGTCAGTGGCACTGCCCCGGGTGGTGCCACTTTCCAAAGAGGAAATTAACCCGTTAATCCGATCCGTACGCTTTGCATAGCAGTCTGTCAAAGTGATTTTTTTGAGAAATACTGAAAGTTTCAAAGAGATCTTCAGACTAGAAGTATTCTAAAATTAAAATGTGAAGAATACATGACCGGGGGTACAAAATGATCCCAGGACGTACGGATAGGGTTAACAAGCCTACTAAAAAATTAAATGAAGCAAACAACGCCTTCTTTCTCGCTGCACTGGAACGCTGTTGTCAAAATTTGTTTCTTATTTACATGTACAGATATGAATGGCACACACGTCTGTCTGTCTA